TCCTGAAACAGCCTAGCAAATGTCACAATGACCCTGTGGAAATGTCAGAGTTGAAAAACAGAAGATTGAAACCTCTTCAAAGGGTTTCTGTGCACACTAATAATTAAACCAATGACAAGTAGAACCTTTCTTAATATAATTATCAGTGGACATGTAAAGAGTTTGTAGCAATAATAACAGAAATATAAAACAAACTTATTGTTGCCCTTATACTGTAATAAGCAAATATTGAACTCTACCTCAAGACTGGAGTATTAAGTTAGACAGGAGATAATTAAAGGATTATAAGCATGATTAAGTCTTTTTTTTGCACTTGGATAAGTGGTTCAAATCTAGGAAAAGAAATTAAATTGTGAATAAGTCTACATATATTAAGAGTTCATTTAGTATACCTGCATTAATGGACAATAGGAAACTTATTTACACTTTTCTATCTGATTTTTACTGTTTTTACAAAATTCCAAATTGACTTTTCTTTCAAATAATTTTGAATAAACATAGCACTTGATACAACTAAATAAATCATTAAGACAGGTCTACCTCCAAACCCATGAACTTTGGACCATATTTGTCAGCTGCCTTAGTTGGTCCTAGTTCCAGAATAGTGGGCTGCAAGCCAGTTTTGTTTCTGAGCCTCCCTTGCCTGGAAAATAGCTTTGTTCCTCTTCCATTTCTTTCTCTGCTTGACTCTATCTCCACATATACAGGCCTAGATGCAGAACTGATATGGGTAAACCTGCTTTGCTGACAAGCCACCTTTGTTAGGTAAATGCTTCCTTCCCTTTTCTACTCCTCCCTCTGCCTGCTTCCCTCTCCTCACCCACAAGTCTACTCCAATTCAGGAGCCATCTTTTCCTGGTGGAATCAAATAGCTAATGTTCCAGCTTTACTTGGCCTAGCTCCAGCACTGGTCTAATCTAAAGCAGGCCAGATTCTTACATCAGAAATACAATCAAAAAAAGAAGTTCACATGCACACATGACAAAAACAAAAACATGAATGACCAAGACAGACTATTATCAAATCCACTAGTCCTGTAGGAATGTTATTTAGAGAAATTTACCCAGATGAACTCAGAACACATAATTTCAATGAATAGTAAAAATTGTTTTCAAAGAATTCAAGGCATTTAAATGTGAGAGACCTGCTCCTACTTTTTCCCCACAGTGTACTCTTAAAAGGGTGAAGTGAGAAATATTTACATAGAATGATAGAGGGGAGAGAAACAGGTAGAAACAGGATAGTTTCGGGAGGGCCTGGATTAATATCCACTGGCCCCTTCTATCTAAAGGGCTATTTATAGGACTGCGAAAGGGTGAAGCAAAGACTTCCCACTAGCTAAGCCAAGGGTAGACTCTTCCAATTACCTAGTGACCATGCACATTGTCAAGTCATTCTCTAATGCAGCCTTGCTGGGTAAAGCAAACACAAATCTCACTAGGAAATCTTTGTGGGCTTCCACATTTAAAGAAGTCACAATCAGCTCACTTGGCTTCAAGAGGATAACAGTAAATATTGAGAAAATAAAAATACATGGCTGGCTGAACAAAATGACAAAACTCAAAATTTAAAACCAGAATTGAATAAATAGATATATTAACAAGAACTCAAGCTGTAATGAAGATATAATTAAAAAACTCAGTAACCCAATAAGAAAACTCAAGGGAAAGCTGTATGAGTAAATTGGATCAAGTAGAATAAAGTCTATCAGTACTCAAATATAAAGTAGAGGAATGAGACCAAACCAAAGAAATGATTTTTTTAACATGTGAAAGGAATATACAGAACTGTAAGATAGCATGAAAATAGCAAATCTTTGAATTCAAGGCATGAAAGAGAGAAAAGAATCTGAGATCAGGGCAGTGAATAGGCCTACAACAATATCATAGAAGAAAATTTCACTAAACAGTCACCTATTCTTAGAAATATGACCAGTTATGAGTTTGTACAGTTTCTGCTGCTCACTGCCCAAAGTTTCTCTGAATAAATCTGATAGCACCACTAAGCTATGGACATAAACATAATTATTTAGAAAATGATTTGATATGTGTATTGTGTCCACTCAGCAAAATAGCAGCAGTACCTTCCCACTAGGGACTACAACCATAGTTTGACCATGTTTACAGTATGACCTGAACTGCCTTGTGGAACAGGATGCAAGTCTAATCAGACCATACACATACATAAATATATACATATACAAACACACATACTCATACACCATAGATACACATGATATGTAATGCATATATATGAGAGGTAAAAAGAAAGATTAAAAATACATCCCAAAACATCCAACAACACTGGGGATATATTTAAAGAAAAGTAAGTCTAGGAATTCATGAGGCAGAAGAATATGGTGAAATAAAAGTTAGAGGTATATACAAGGTACTCATTGAAATTATAACAAAAAATTTCCTAAACATGGAGAAAGAAATCTAAAGACATCCAAATATGAGGCATTTAAACTTCAAATAGACATGACCAGAGAAGAATCTTTCTATGAAATAATGTAATCAAGATGTTTAAGATACAAAACAAAGAAACAATATTAAACACTGTAAGAGGAAGGCATTAATTTGCCTACAAAGGCAGAAAGGTTGGAATAACATTAAACTTTTCATCTGCAATACTAAAAGCTGGGGAAGTATGGTGTCTTAATTAAATTTCCATTCCTATGATAAAACATCATGACCAAAAGCAACTTGGTGAGGTTATATTGTATTTCTGTTTATTAATTAAAATTTATCATGAAGAGTAATTATGGCAGGAACCAAAAAGCAGGAACTAAAGCAAAGACCATGGAATAATTTTTCTCAACTGAAGTTCTCTCTTCCCAGATGAACCTGGCTTGTGCCAAACTGACAAAAAACTAACCAAGCACCCTTAAAAGTGACTTGCAATAATATCATTATGTGTAGCAAGGCCATCTCAATATTGATAGAGAAATAAGAACTTTCAAGTTAAGCACTGATTTAAATTAATTCATGACAACCAAGTTAGATGTGAATATCATATTTAAAAGAATATTATACACAGAGGAAACAAAAGAGCGGTCTCATTCATAGGACCGCTGGAAAGAATGCATTTCATAAGAGAAACAATCGTCATAAGAGAATGAAACAGAATATACCATATACAAATCCATAAAATAGCAAATTATTAATGTTAGCAGAGGGGAAAAAAGAACTATCAATTTCCCAACCAACCAGAATGTCAACTGACACAACTACATCCAAGGTAAATGACCAACTCATCTCCACCTCAACTCAGCATTTAGAAAGATGCAGACGAAACTGTCAGATTGAAAAAGGAAGATCCAACTACGAGTTGTCTCCATGGAATGTCTGATAGTGGCAAAGATCCAAAACTGATGTCAATCAGCCTACCAAGCAAATGGAAGCTGTAAACAAGATGGTGTAGCTATTCTCATGTTTTATAACGTACCCATCAATCAAAAACTATAGAAAAGATACAAAGGTGCCTACTTATTAATGAGGTAAAGAATTCATCAAGAAGATATAATAGTTAAGTATTTATGCACCACATGTTGGGGATTTCAGTTTCTAAAACAGATACTAAACAGCAAGAAACACCATGTATGCCCTGATACAATATTGGGAGACTTCAGTACCCTACTCTCATCTTTAGATATATTTCCAAACTTAAAAGTGAAAAAAGAAATTTCAGAGTTAAATATTACCATGAGTCATTTGGATTTAATATATATTTATAGAATAGTATATCCAACAGATAAAGAATATTCATTCTTCACAGTGGTCTGTGAAATGTTCTCCAACATTAAACATGTTGTATGACAAATCCTTAACAGTTATTATAAAGTCAAAATTAACCCTTATATATTATCAGAACACAGTGGCATAAAACTAAGAAACAATAAAAAAAAAAAAAAACAGAAACTACAGAAACATGTGGAGCCTAAATGGAGTTTGAATGAAGAGTGGATTATTGAAGAAATCAAGACCAAAAGTTTTAATGCCTAGAATCAGATGAAAATTGTAAAAACAAACTACCAGAACCTCTGGGATACAGCTAAGGCATATCTGGGTGGAAAGATTATAATGCTAAATATTCAATTTAAAAAATTCAGAGACATCTCAAATAAGCAAACTAACGAAAGGCCTTGCCATTCTAAACACCAAAAGGCAAGCCCAAATGCACTGGGCAGCAAGCAATAAAAAAGAATTAATGAAATAGAGACTAAATGGACAGCACATATACTCATTTAGAATTTTGTTAAGATAAGCAAGATTGACAAGCCCCTGGTATAACTGATGAAAAGAAAGAAAAAACCTAAACTAACTAAATTATAAAGAAAGAGGTTGTTATAAAACAGACTCCAATTAAATACTGAGAATTGTGAGGGAATACTTTAATGTTCACAAAAAACCGAAAATCTAGAAGAAATTGATGTTAATAAACAAATATGACCTACCAAAATTAAAAAAATACAAACAACTCAAACAGATCTATGACAATCAATGAGTAAAAAAAAAAAAAAAAAACAGTGCACAAAAACTACCAAATAGTGACTAAAAGTTTCCACACAAAGGAAAACCTAGGGTCAGAGGCATTCATTAAAATCAAACTTTTAATGAGTATCTAACACCAGTGCTTCTCAAAGTGTTCCACAAAATAGGAATGGAAAATATACTAATAAATTCATTCCATAAGCCAGTTTTACCCTGTTGTGGAATAGCAGTTGAAGATGTGTTACATTTGTTTACACCATGGAACATTTGTTTAATGATGCAAAGATGTGTTGTATTCTTTCATGTTGCATTTAACTCTGAAGTTGTGTTACTTTGGCTGTCTAAAACACCTGATTGGTCAAATAAAGAGCTGAACAGCCATTAGCTAGGCAGAAGAGGGATAGGCCAGGCTGCTAGACAGAGAGAATAAATAGAAGAAGAAAAAGAGAAGAAGGAGGAGAGGAAAAAAGAAGAGAGGATGATGCCAGCAACCAGCCATCCAGCAAGACGTGAAAGAGATATACAGAAATGGAGAAAGGTGAAAGCCCAGAGGCAAAAAGTAGATGGGATAATTTAAGAAAAGCTGGCAAGAAACAAGCCAAGCTTAGACAAGTCATTCATAAGAAAGAAAAGTCTCCACCTGTTTATTTGGGAGCTGGGTGGTGGGCTGTCAAAAAACAAAGAGTTAAAAAAAAAAAAGAAAAATCCAACTACATTACTCTGATCTTAAAACTAAATAAGGATACCATAAGGGAAGTAAAATATAGATCAATTTCCTTGATTCAAAAATTCTCAACAAACAAAATTCAAGAACACATTAAGATCAAACATCACAAACAAATTATTTTCAACTAGGAATATAAATTTAATCTAGTACCTAAAAATCAATAAATATAACCTATGGTTTAAGTGATATATGCCACCTGATCTTATCAATGGGTGCAGAAAACATTTGACAAATTTCATTATGCCTTCATGATAAAAGTCTTGAAAAAACTAATAATATGAAAGAACACATCCCAACATAATAAAGACTACATAAAAGAAGTCTGTTTGCAAGATTTTACTTAAGGGAAAGCAGCATTTCCTCTAAAATGGAGACTAAAGCCTGGGTCTCTGCTCCTGCCACTCTCACTCAGCACAGTGCTCAAAACTTAGGGCAATAAGAGAAAGAAAGGGATAGACTTGGCAAAGGAAGAAGTCACTGTATCACTGTTTGTAAATATTAACATCCAACATTTAGAAGACCTTATGAATGCCACTGGAAAACTCTTAGGTCTCAATATTGTCAACAAAGTTTCAGGGTATAAAATCAACATACAAGGAGAGCAATGTTCTATATACCAATGACAAACTTCTGAAGAAAAAAATTTCCATTCATGATTACTTCAAAGAAAGGAAGCAAGGAAGGAGGGAGAGAGCTAAACAGATATCTTGAAAGATTTAGGTATAAATTTAGCAAAGAAAATAAATAATCTTTACAATGAAAATTTTAGGACACTGACAAGACTGTGGACACTAGAAAGTAGAAATACCTCCCTGCTCATGAATTGGCAGAACTTATATTGTAAAAATTACTAATAAAAACTTTCCAAGAAATCACTATAATCCCATAAAAATTCTAGGACATGCTTCACAAAACTAGAGGGGAAAAAAAGCTAAAATTCCTGTGAAGAACTTTGAAATAGCTAAGTAGATAAGGGTTGTAGATGTAACCAACCGTCTTATTAAATAAGAAACACAGAAACAATGTAAAAGAGAAAGCCAAGAGGTCAGAACTCAGAGCTAAAATCTCACCCTTCCTTCTGCTGTCCCAGCTTCCTGAAAGAGAGCTATATCCTGTCTGTACGTCTTTTTTATAGTATTATTGTTCTGCCTTCTCATTGGTTGTAAACCCAAACACGTGACTGCCTCGTCACTGTCTAAATGTACAGCCCCCTAGGTCTTAAAGGCATATGTCTCCAATGCTGGCTGTATCCCTGAACACACAGAGATCTATGGGATTAAAGGCGTGTGCCATCACCGCCACACTCTGTCTATTGCTCTAATAGCTCTGACCCCCGGGCAACTTTATTTATTAACATACAATCAAAATCACATTTCAGTACAATTAGAATACCACCACAAAGGGTGTCTGCCACTATGTGAGGACTCAGTGGGAGAACTGACTCTCTCAAGTAGTCCTCTAATTTCCAATACGTGCTGCGGCATGCATGTATACACATACATACACAAGTAATTTAATACATAATCAACATAATGATTTAAAATTGATTTGGAAACACAAAGATCCCAAATAATCAAAAGTTCTAAAAAGAAAGAACAGTTCCAGAGGTATCATGAACCTAGTTATACTGTAAAACCATAAGGACAAAGACAACATGGTACCAACACAAAACAGACATGCCATAAAATAGAGGACTCAAAAATAAACCCACTATACTAATTTGTTTTCTATTGCTGTGATAAAAACACTAACCAAAATCAACATGGAGAGAAATGGGTTTACTTGGCTTACATTTCCAAATCACAGTCTATCACTGAGGGAAGGCAAAGTATGAACTAGAGGCAGGACACTAGAGCCAGGAACTGAAGTAGCAATCATAGTGGAACTCTGCTTATTAGCTTTGCTTTTCTGGTTTGCTTAACCACCTATCCTAAATAACCGAGGCCCCCTAACCAGGCCTGGTACTACACACACTGGGCTGTGACCTCCTCTATTATCAATCAAGAAAATACCCAACATACATGCATCTGAGCCAATATGATGATAGAGGCAGTTCTTCAATTTGGATACCCCTTTCCTGGATATGTCTAGGCTTGTGTCAAAAAATAACCAGTACACCCCATCAGGCACAGCTACATAATCCTTGACAAAGGTATCAGAAACACAATTTGAAAAAAAGACAGACTTTTCATCAAATGGTGTTGAGAACACTAGACATCCACCAGGAAAAGAATTAAGTTCATTCATATCTCACCTGCGTAGGAATGAATTTAGAACAGATCAATGACCATAATATGCTAACCTCAAACAGTCAAACAACTAGAGGAAAACACTTCAAAATATAGACACAGGCAAGAACGTTCTGAAAATGACTCTAATAGCATGTGAACTAACCCTAAGAATTGTCAAGTAGAATTACGTGAAATTAGAGAGTTTCTGCACTGCCAAGCAAACAACCAGCAGAGTGAGGAGACAGGTTAGATGTAGGAGGAAATCTTTGCCAACTTTACTTCATCCACAGGGCTAATATTTAAAATATATTAAAAACTGAAAAATTAAAACTAAAACTCAAACCTTCCAATCAATGAATGGGTCCGTGAACTGAATAGATATTTCTGAGAGCATAAAACATTAATGGCCAATGAACATGTTTTAATGTGTTTAAAGTCCTCAATTTTCAAGTAAATACAAATAGAAACTAATTGTAGATTGTATTTCACCACAGACAGAATGGCTAACATCAAGAAAACAAGTGAGCCAACTTGGCAGTGAATGCAGATAATACTAGCACTCAGGAGGCAGAGGCAGGCAGACTTCTGAAAATCCAAGCCAGCTCGTTCTATACAAGTTCAAGGCCAGCAAGGGACATGTAGTAAGACCTTGTCTAAAAAAGAGAGAAGAAAATAACTGAGAATGTTGTCTTTCATAAACCTACATTTATGCACATATATATGGATATAACAATAAAATTCAAAGAAAAGGAGGCTGTCAACTTGAGAGAAGGGGTCATGGGAGAGGTTCTGGAGAGCACAGCCCATAGGAGCCGGGGGAAGGAAAGAGAAGGGAGAGGGAGACACTAATGTAATTGTATTTCAACTAAAATCATATTTAAAAGAAGGAACTATTTACACATACAACTAGATGAATCTCAAAATGAATTACGTTAAGTAAAAGAATAAGACCCAAAAGACCCTAAATATATGACATTCTGAAACAGGCAAAACTCTAATGATAGAGGCCAAATCAGCCAGTGATATAGCCTGAGGGCTGGGGAGGAATATTTGACTATACAGAAGAGGTTAGTGGGTATTTGGGAAAGTAATAGAATTGTTCCATATCTTGATTACAGCAGTGTTAAGAAAATGAAATGGTGATTATGCTTTTATCTATGAAGATCTATTCACCAAAGAACAAATTTTACTATTTTTAAATTAAAAACCAAAAAAAAGAAAGAAAGAAGAAAAGGAAGAAAAGAAAGCACAAATACCAGCAACAGCTGGTGGGCATGGGTGTGTGGCAAAACAGGAAGCTGTAGTCACTGCTGATGTGTGAACTGGTGGAGCCACTCTGGAAATCAGCATTTAGACTTCCCAAAAACCTAAATCAGACATCCCTGGTATGAGTGAGTCAGGAGAGAAAATCAGAGAACGTTTGGGGGACATGAGGAAGGAGAGAGAGTAGGCCGTCACCCTGTAATCTAGTTGAAGCCTTTTCTTCAGTGGAGCAAGGACACCTGCACAATTAACAACTACCTGAGGTCCTGTTCCCTTCCCCCTGTAAACCTGTAATTTTCTAGACTGTCACAAGAAACCATGTGGAGAACATATTACTGAAGGCTTGGTGCAAATTTACTGGCTTCTTGCTTCCCATTATCAGATTGTAGTTTCAACTGGTGTGTCTTTGGAGCAACCTGACATATCTCTCTCTTGAGAAAAAGGAAGAGGAGGAAATGGTTTCTTAGCAACTTTTAAGATGTAGCCTCCAGATTGGTATACATGACTAATGTTAAGACAAATGTTTGCTCTTCTTAGAGCATCCCGTACCACCCTTGGGCGTGCCTTACATTCTCCTGAGTATCTTTCTCTTTACCTTCATGTTTAAGGCTATGTTAAAATAGCTTTCATATAATTCCCAACTCTGATCCACTATACTAGTTAATTCTGATATTTTTTTCATCATCAAATCATAAATCCTTATTTGGCCTGAGTTGGGGTCCTAAAAATCTAGCCCCTTAAGCTGCCCAGGGTGTCAGGGTGGGGCTATGTCTCTGTCCCTTCACTGCTGATGTAATCACTCCCGGAAACTTCTCAAAAAATTCAAAGTCCCTTGCCTGGCGGTGGTGGCGCACGCCTTTAATCCCAGCACTTGGGAGGCAGAGGCAGGCGGATCTCTGTGAGTTCAAGGCCAGCCTGGGCTACCAAGTGAGTTCCAGGAAAAGGCGCAAAGCTACACAGAGAAACCCTGTCTCGAAAAAAAAAAAAAAAAAAAAAAAAAACAAAAAAAAAAATTCAAAGTCCCACCACAAAGATAATTTTGCACATCTGTAATATTGATGCATTATTAATAATAGTAAGTTTGGTGATGTTTTCTTTGTGCAGCCCAATAAAGCTTATCTGGGGATCAGAGTAAAAAGCCAGCCCACTATATTAAACATAGAAGTCAGGTAATGGCAGCACATGCCTTTAATTTTAGCATTCAGGAGACAGAGATTCATCTGAATCTCTGTGAGTTCAAGGCCATACTGGGAACAGAGCCAGGCTTGGTGTCACACGCCTTTAAATTCCTACAGTAGTTGGAATTTAAAGGTCTGGGGGTCTGTACAGACAGAGCTAGGCAGGAAGAAGTGATGTAGCTGGGCGGTGAGAGGAAGAGGGCAGGGACAGAAAGGCATACAGGAAGTAGGTCTCTTTGGAAGCTGAAGAGTCGGTGAGCTGAGGATGGTTGTAGGCTTGTCTTATTCCCCGATCTCTCAGTTTTTACCCCAATATCTGGCTCTGGGTGTTTTATTAATAAGACCACTTAGCAATTTGTCTTACATACAAGGTGTCTTCAGACAACTGGGAAATTTGAATGGG